AACCCCCAAATAAAGATTTCAGCACTTCATTCCTTTACAAAACTCCCAAAAAACAGCTTTTAAGTACCACATTTTCCAATCACTGTCAGGCATAATTTACACATTAAAACCCCCCAGCATTTGCAATATTAATCCACAATTAAAAACTCCCCAGGTTTGACATGAACATGAACCTTCTGGGGCTTATTTTTTTATTTAATATTAATTTCAGGTTTACCTGGCAACTGCTGAGTTTGGACTAAATTCTATTGAGGTCTCTGGAGGATATTTCCACATGGCCAATATTTTCTTCCACCAGAATGAAATGGATGCAGCAGACTCACTCTATAGTGAGGTTGGTAGAACCAAAAATCATCCTCTGGGTTTTTATCAGCTTTTTTTGATGCTCTTTCCAAAGTTTTTTCTATTTCCTTTCAATGGGATAATGACCATATCAAGTGTCAGTGTTGCCTTTTAGGATCAGTCCCAGAAACTAAATAATTATCTGAGTTAATAAAAAATAAATAATATATAAATAATAATAAAATATAAATAACATCATCATAAATTAATATAATATAATATAATATAATATAATATAATATAATATAATATAATATAATATAATATAATATAACTAATATAATTATTAAAATCATGCAAATAATATAGTAATAAAAATATAAAACATAATATAAATATAAAATATAAGTATAAAAATAAAGTGTAAATAATATAATTATATCAATAGTAATATTAATAATATAAATATAAATAGCATTATAAATATAAATAATATATTAATAATATCTAAATAATATATAAATAACAAATGAACAATTATCTGAGTTAAAACCATGAGATATTATTCCTATAATCAGTTCAAAATTCTTAATTATTATTCTTAATTATTCCTGTAATCAGTTCAAAATTCTTCAGTTTGGGCAGCCAAACCTTGTTAAAAAACAGCTTTGCTACCAACTTTCCTGTAAAATTCCTGTAAATTCCACACTGATAAAAGATTTTCAGAACGAAAATCTGCCTTTCAGAATGGATTGATCAAGCAAGGAAAGTAATAATTATCGAATTGATTTAATAACTGAAAAAAAATGAACTTTTATTTGTTTAAGTCCATTTTTGTGGTGATAAGGTGCCGGGAGCTGCAAATTCCTGTCCTAAATTTCAACTCCACGAGCTTTTGGTGAAGATTTTGTTTAGATTTGTTGAAGTTGGGTGAAAATCAGCTGGAGAAGGGAGGGATCCTGTGATGGTGTTCACAGGGGTTCTGGATGAGGGAAGAGATGAGGATCTGACTCCATGTTTCAGAAGGCTGATTTATTATTTTATTATATATATTACATTAAAACTATACTAAAAGAATAGAAGAAAGGATTTCAGCAGAAGGATAGCTAAGGATAGAAAAAGAAAGAATGATAACAAAGGTTCGAGGCTTGGGGCTCTCTGTCTGAGCCAGCTGACTGTGATTGGCCATTAATTAGAAACAACCCCATGAGACCAATCCCAGATGCACCTGTTGCATTCCACAGCAGCAGATAATCAATGTTTACATTTTGTTCCTGAGCCCTCTCAGCTTCTCAGGAGGACAAATCCCAAGGAAAGGATTTTCCATGGATGTGTGTGGCAGGATCCCAGCTGGGTGATCCTGCAGGGCACGGCCATGCAGGGGCACTGTTTGGAGAACAAGGGGATGCCAGGGATCCACAGGGGTGCAATAATTGCCGTGTTTGCTGCCAGGTGAGCCGCCTGTGGCACGCCTGGCTGCTGAGCTCCCTGCACGGGCACCAGCGAGCGCTGCAGGCGCAGGCAGAGGCGTCGCCCTTCAACGAGGAGGAGGAAGGCACCGAGGAAGGCACCAGTAAGAGCTGCTGTTGCTCCTAAACCTTTGGGAACTGGGAGTTAGATTCCCTGCACCCTACTGATCATGGTGTTTCCAGAGGCTGGATTGAATGGTAGTGCCAATTCTTGAGGAATAAGGGTGTTCTGTGGAATCCCAGCTTTACCTTCTCTGTTTCATGGCAAAATTGGATTCATGGACTCGTGGAATCATCACTTTAAAATCATCAAGTCCAGCCATTCCTCCAGCACTGTCCTGTTCCCCACTAACCCACATCCCAAATGCTACATCCATGTGCATGTGCCCACCCTCAGACCACGCTGATATTTGCAATAGAAATGCTTTGCTGTCCAGAAGAGCCCCTTGGGCAGTTTTGGGTCTGTCCCTTGCCCAAACGCAGCCTCAGAGCCGTTTCTGTCCCTGCAGCCGAGGCGCAGCGCGAGAGGGGAGCGCGGATGCTGAGCGCGCTGCTGGAGCTGCGGGAGCGGGGACCCCTGCAGCACCTGGGGGAAACCACCCAAATCCTGCACTCCCTGGCCATCATCCACTACCTGGGCCAGGATTGTGCCAAGGTAGGCTGGGTCTGAAAGGGTTCAGGAGAATTGGCCAGCTGCTCTGGGGTCATCCTGGTCCTTTTGTTCCTTGGTGCTTCTCCTGAGCCCACAGCGCCTCAAGTGCTCAAGCCAAGGGCTGGGGTGGGATATTGGGATAAATCCTTCCCTGTGAGGGTGGGCAGCCCTGGCACAAGGTGCCCACAGCAGCTGTGGCTGCCCCTGGATCGCTGGCAGTGCCCAAGGCTGGGTTGGATGGGGCTTGTAGATGTCCCTGCCATGGGGTCTGAGATCAGCTTTAAAGTCCTTTACTAGCCAAACTATTCCATGACTCTGTGACCTGCACTCTATAAAGGCTGGCAGTCCTGGGGGATGTGTTCTGGTCTCTGCCAGGCCACTGGATCCTGCAGTTATCCACATTTTCTGGGTTCTTCCTTTATCTCGACTATCTTGGCAGTGTAGCTGCCTGTAGATCTGAGCTCAAGGTTACACAGAGCAAGATCTGGGGCTCACAGACCTGTCCTTGAGCCAGACTCTTCTGAGTTCAAGGTTCAGTCTGTTGGGGTCTGTAATTCCAGTTTGGAATCTGCATTCCTCTGTCTTTATGGCTTAAAAATTCAGTAATTTCTGTGCTTTACCAAGAATTGATTTTGAGGAAATACTGAGCAGACACCATCTGGAAATCAGGCCCTTGTGTTTGGGATCAGAGCTCAAAACCCTGAGTTTCTTCAGCCTGGGTATTGAGGAGTGAAAATACAGATGTTGAAAAATACTGTATTGAAATATTAATGATCTCTTCATTGTATTATAGAAGCCACAACTTGGCTTTATATAATACAATGAAACTTGTGTTTGGGACACACAAACAAATTTGAATTTATTTGAAAAATAAAAAAAGACAAAGCTTTATAATTGTGAGAGTTTCTAACCCCTAGAAGAGCTACCAAGGGAAATTATTTTGTTCCTTATCAAAAGAAATGCAGGATTTAGTTCAGAGTCAATACAGGTGATTTTTTTTCCCTGAAATGGCTTTGGGATTGTTCAGAGGAGCTGTGTTAGACAGGAGGTGATGCCCAGCACGGGGGGCTGGGGTCAGTAATCTTCTGTCTGCACCACTGGATCCTAAATATGGGATCTGCTGGCAGCTTTAGGCTCTCCTGTAAAGCTGCTTGTGCAGGTCACCTCGGAAAGAGAGCCTGGATCTGCTCCAGGCTGAGCCTCAGCAGGTATTTAACTCTCCCATGAGAAAATCCAGGTTCCTGACCATGCCTGGGCGTTTCTCTGTCCATTCCAGGCCCAGGAGCTGGGGATGAAAGCCTTCGACCTGGCCAAGCAGCTGCCCCAGCAAGACTCTCTAGAAACCATTGGTCACCTGCTGGAGCTGATTAATGCCCAGCTTTCCCAGACCACATGAAAACTGGCTCTGCCAGACCCAGTTTGTTTGGCCAGCTTCTCTCTGATCCACGTTCCTGGACACCACCTTGGTCCTCCCTGCTGCTGCCTCTTTCCAGCTGCCTCTGTGGCTGTCCCAACCTGTTTGGAAAATAAACATTTTGGTCTGAGTTATTCTTCATGTGCTGCTCCACTTGTGTAACCTCTCAGGGAGTAACAGCAGCAGGGTGAGAAACAAAAGCACCACGAGCACACTGAATAAATCATTTATTGGCCAGGTTGGGAGTGAGCAAACAGCCTCTCACAGCCTCATGGTGGCTGTCCAGGAGCCAAGACCTGCTCAGGTGTGTTTCTGACTGGAAACACTGTAAGAATTTCCTGCCTTTGCTGGCCAGTTTGGTGAGGGAGAGCCAATGGAGGGATAGGAGAGGGTCTCAGGGAAGGGCTGGGGGATGGAGCTGGTTGGGTTTCACAAAGTGTTGCAGCTCCCTGCAGAGCCCCTCCATCTCCAAACCAATGTCCAGAGAAAATCCCAGCCTGGCTTGGAAAACCAGCCTGGTTTGAAGTTTATCCCACTTCACCCTTCCACCATGGCAGGTGCTCAGAATTTTCTCTTTCTGCAGAGCTTCTCATAGCTCTGGGCACTGAGAGACTCATTTATTCCACTTCCAGGAATAATGGGAAGAACTTCCATCCAGGAGGGACCACGGGAGGCATGAGGGACTCTAAGCAGCCTTGAGGGAAGGAATGAAAAGGCTCCAAGTGGGGATTCTGAGCTGAAGGAGATGCAGTTCCCTCCTGGCATCCCCTTGGATGTGCCACCAGCCCCATTCCCAGCTGGCTCCTGCCCCAGGGCACAGAGTGACCCTGCTGGGGGAGGGACAGGGACACCAGAGCAGGGCCAGGAGGCTGCAGAGGCCGTGGGGAGTGTGGGCAGCTCGGGGCAG